CCTCTCCCTCTCCCTCCCTTATTTCCTTCCCTCCCTATTTCCCTTCCTCCTTCTCTCTCTCCCTTCCTTCCTCTTCCTCACCCTCTCTCCCTCTTTCTCTTCCTCCCTTCCTATTCCTCCCTCTCTCTATCCACCTCCCTCTCTTCTCCCTCCCTCTTTCTCCCCCTCCCTTCCCCTCTCTCACCCTTTCTTCCTCTCCCTCTCCCTATGTCCCTCCCTCCCTCTCACTCCCCCCTCCTTCTCTCTCCTTGTCTTCTTCTCCCTCTCCCTCCCTCCCTCTCTCTCCCTCTCTCCCCTCCCTCATTCTCTCATTCTCCCTCCCTCCCCCTCCTTTCTTTCCCCTCTCTCTCTCTCTCTCTCTCTCTCTCTCTCTCTCTCTCTCTCTCTCTTTCTCTCTCTCTCTTTCTGTTCCATCCCCAGTCCATGAAGTTCCAGTCATCTTCATGACTAAGGAGTCATCAAAACATAAGTCAATTCTTTTACCAAGTCATTTGCTTACATTTTTGTCCTTGGTTCCAATAAGGACCAGATACTCAACTCCTTACCTTTTCCACTAAGGTATATCTTAGACTCTTTAACCTTTTGCCTTTATTTCTTCTGTTATTTATGCTGTGTTTTTCTGACTTATGCTGGGATGATTTACAAACAGAAAGTATCCTGTACTCAAATGTAAGCTGCTAGAAAACAGCATCTATGCTTAACAATCTCTGCCCCCCAACTCTGGCACCCAGAACTGTGGTTGGGTAAGACTAGTAAGCTTCTCGAAAAATCTAACTGAATAGTTCAGACCTTATGCTGTCTTCCACCATCACTTTCTAACACACACAACATCTGACTCCATAACTATGGTGGGTTTATAAACAAAAGGCTAGAAAGGTACTCAGTAAATATAGATGCTTGTCTCAAAGACCAGCACACGCTCCTCTAACTGAGAGCAGGCCGGGTTCCTACTAGTTCAGTCCATTTGCTCATTAGTCCAGAGTGACGATACACACAGCCACCAGCCACCAAAGCGCTCACATATAGGTAAGATGGGCTGCTCGGAACAGTCTGCTTGTTAGTATTGCTTCTAGCTCTTTGTTTCTTTCCAATCTTAAAAACTGACCCAACAATGTCTTCATTGTTCGCCTTTCTATCATAGCTCCAAGGCCCAGTGTGAGCTGCGCTGGCTGCCAGCACTCACAGAAAGGAGAAGATGCTGTTCTCGACGTCCCAATGCAGATGAGAGCCGCTCTAGCCTCCCTCATCCTCCTTTCTATGGTTTGTGTCTAGGTGTCTCCCCCACCAAAGCCTCATGCAGTCTTGGGGTGGCTTCTGGAGTTTGTGACTGATCACTGTGGGTGTGGATGCTGCACCTGCCCTGGGGCAGGTAATCTGCATTACAATGTAAGGTGGGAAGAGAAGCCAGCTGCTTGAGCTGCTGCTATCCTTCCCTTGTGCTCTTGCTCTTTGCTGCCACCACAAAAGGTTGCTTTCTGCCATGTGCTGCGCTGCCTTGGACCCAGCTGAATATGGACTGAAACCTCCAGTAACTCTGAGCTAAATAAACCTTTCCTTCCTTCATTTTGAGTGTCGGGTATTTGTCCCAGCAACGAGAGCAGAGTAACTAAGACACTCCTCCAACCCTCTTCCCTGTCTACTACCTCATCCTCTCACCAATCTATGCAACATTTCTATATTTTTGCCACAGATGAGCAAATCAAGCACGTCACTATCAGCACGCTCATTAGCCATTAATACAAAATGCTCCGTCGCAGTGAGACCAACCGTGTAAAACCAAAACTTGACAATAGGGGCGCTGTAGAACTCATACACTTTCCTGGTCCAGGGAAGGCTTTGGGGCCCATTCCTTAGATCAAAGTGCCGGCTTTCATCCGGTTTCTCGCCGGGGCCCCTTTCCAAATCACAGTCTTTCTGTAACACAGATGAACAACAATTTGTAGGCGTGTAGCTCAGTGGAAGAGCTCATGCTCTGCTTATATGAGAGATTGGGTTTGATCCCCAGTACCCCCAGTACTTCCATATGAAGTAACAGTAACATTATGACGTTATGACGATAAACAAGTACTCATTTCTCCTTAGTGGATTCACTCGAATGTTGACAGGTGTAGACATCCAGAACTTAATAAATGACACATTACAAATTAATGGGGTACACAGCATCCAAATGATACTCTTAGACTTGAAGGGAGAGAAAACTACAGTATGACCTAAATTTTCTGACCAAGTGAAAAACATAGGTTATTTCTGAAATGTAATCTCAGTTTCCACTAATGAAACCCAAAGTAAGAGTAGTTCTGAGGAACTAAGATCAGTCGTTGGATTAATCTCATTTAGGAGTGATTTTTTGGAACCTAAGAATAATCATAAAATCCCCCCCATGAAATCACAAATGGATAACACGTTTATTTCCTTTATACAAGAATGGACATGGCTTAATGAGGCCTCTTTTCCAAGTCACAGGAAAGTCAGGTGCAGCATTCATTCTCGATTAAAGGGTCTCTGCCTGGAGTTCTGGGGCTCACTGAGCTTTCAGTCTCCTGGGCACCCTGCAGCCATATCCAAGCATCCGTGCTGTGTGTGCATCTTTCCAGGCAAAGATTCAACACTTCTTTGTTTTTAAAAATATGTGTCAGCCAAATGGCAAAGGTTAAGCCTTGCAGGTGACGAGCAGTGATCACCTGGGGCAAAGCGGACGGAGGTCACTGGAGTGTGACCGCACATTGCCTACTCAGGACAGGCCTTCAAAGGAGCAGAGGGGGCACTGAAGTGCTTATACTCTGGTAGGAGTATGGAGGAGAGGCCACAGGAAGAGAGACAGACACAGACAGTCAGAGACAGAGATAGAGAGAGAGAGAGAGAGAGAGAGAGAGAGAGAGAGAGAGATCACCCTACATTGTAAGGTTTTAATTTGTGCTGCCTTTATTTTATAATTTTAAAGAAATATTTAAAGAAAAGAACATTCTATGCCATCTCTCCCACCAGCCCATTTCTTCAGGCTTGCCACAAAAGTTCAGACCTGCTGTCAGACCTGAAAGATTAACAAGATTTTTCAAGCCAGGGAAAGCATCCAATTCTTTGTGTAGCTGCAGGAATTGTTTGTGTAGCTGCAGGTAAACATGCTGTTTTCTAGGCACTGGACCCCCGGCGGGGCTACCTTTGTGGCCTGGTCTATTGTTGACTCTGCTCTGCATAGCATGTTTGAGACAGTGATTCAGAGTTGTAAGGACTGACCTCGTTTCAAGCAGGTTTGAACCAGCCTGGAAGTAAGTAGCTCAAAAACAAGGTGAAAGTCACCACTCACTGGTAACTTACCACTGTGTCAATACCACTTCAGAAAGACCCCAGAAATCAATTTAAATGACCACCTTATTATCACATAACTCCTCTTGTTATTTTTTCTACAAGCGCTTCCTTGGGTCCCAACTGCTCTTCATACTTTAGAATAGGGTGTAAAGGATGTGCAGTTCTCCCTGAGCCTGGATTTGAGTTGAATTCGAAAACAGCTGCTGCCATGAATGCCATGTGAAAATACTAATTCAGACTCAGGCTTCTCTTTTTGTCCTTAGAAGAAGATACAAATAAAAGTATTTTGCTTAGGTAACATATTCTATTCAAATCTCTTCCTCTCCCCTCTCTAGCAGTAACCAGTAAATACATGGAACAAAGCATAAATAAATGGTCAACCTTAAAGCTCTGACAGACCTTATTATTAAACTTTCTTAATGTGTTGCATTCGACTTAGCAGCCTGTGTAAGAGAGCACCCTTCTCTGCTTCTCCGGTCATTCCCACGTCCCTTCAGGACAGCCCCACTGTGCCATCAACCTCTCCACCACACTTGCTGTCTGCTCCCCCACATTCCATTTTCAATCAATGCTGCACTAAAAATCTGTTTTCTCTCCAAATCTATTGCTACTGACCCTGGCTGATGCCCTCTTCACTTCTCACCTACTGTGGCCTCCACCCTCCCCTTCCGACCATCTTCTTGCTAATGTCTCCTCTGCACAGGAGGCAAAACCACTTTCCTGCTAGTCAAATCATCTTCCTGCACATTGCCGGGTTTCCACTGAGTCCAGGCCCCCAGGGTCTCTCTCCCCTCCTTTCCCAGCCATGCCCAACAGCACGGCTCCCTCTGCCCCCACACCGCAACCCTGCTGAGGTGCTGCCTCCTTGCTTCCTGCATCTGGGCTCCCCCTTCCGGCTCCTCCCACCAGAAGGCCCTCAAGTCACAGCTCAAACAGCACCTCCGAGGTTGCCACACCTCCGCCTGTGGTTCTCTCCTCCTGGCCCCTACTGAGGACCCTTCTCCCACTCTGTTAGGGCATTCTGCCATCTTCTACACTTTATGCTAGGACAGCCCGAACTGTCATGTGCCACGCTTTTAACAGTTAGCAGCTAGGAAAGTTTAAACTTCCCTTGGCAGTTATTTTACCTAGAGAAAGCTCATGAAGGAAAGACGTTTTAGATCAGTGAAGCGGTGCATACCAGTGCCACCAGCAACTCCAAGGCCGAGGCAGGAAGATCACTGTGCCCAGGAAGCAGAGATTATTCTGAGCAACATGGCAAGACCCCATCACACAAAAAAGGGGAAAATTATAAAATCTCCTGGAGTCCATGCGGTGTCTGACTCTAGGCTGCTTTAGCTCCAGAACAGTGGCCCCCTCTCTTGTCACCAGAAGTGGCCTCACCATGTTCATATTTACCGTCCAACTCAAAGCACAAAAACCTAATGATGCGTCTGCATTTCACCTGGCTCCAGTTTTCTCCCATGACCCAAACTGCAAATTGTGTCCCTCAATGAATCAAGCCCTTGATTTAATAATTAGCATTTTGAAGCGCACAAGTGCTGCCTGACCACCTCCCCCTGTGCAGCAAGCTTCTAAAAATAAAACACCTGATAGGTAATCGTTGTTGAAGTTAAATTCAAAAGCTAAGGTCCTTCCTGACAGAACAGACCTAAAATGCCTTTGCAATAAATGTTTTAAACTGTACATTCTTTTTTTCCTCTTTGTACCAGGAATTGAGCCCTTGCACTTCCTATGCAGGCGCTTGTATCAATGAGCTATGTTCTCAGCTCCATAATAAATGCTTTAAACTAAGTTAGGATGAATCTGCGGGTATTCTGCCTGACAATAAACCCCTTCGTGGCAGAGGCCACACCGGCCTTAGGTGACCTTGTGCCCCACACCGTGTCTTTGTTACACACAAGCAGGGGATGGAATGTTCACTGAGCTAATCAAATGATACGGTCACATCCAAACAATCCAATAGAGATTGCTAGAATAGGACCACAGTGTTACAGCCAAAATGTAAGTTTTTCAGGGAATTGTGAGAATTTAACACCTTTCTAATGTTATAAGCTGGTATGGCTTCTGTCTAGTCTCTCTCTCAAAGCCTTGTGTAGCTATAGAGTGGACTTCTAGAGGTTGTAATTAATTCATGATACAGTGCTGGGATTATGGGTGTGAGTGCTACACCTGGCCTGGGGCTGACACCCTGAATGTAAAATAAGGGCAACAGACTTGCTCTCTGTGGCCATTGTTGCTGCTGCTTCTCCCTTTTGCTCTTGCTCTTTTTCTGTTTTCTGCCACCATACACAGCTGCCCTCTGCCTTGTGCACTCTGCCTTGGAGCCAGCTGAATATGGCCTGAAACCTCCATGAGCTATGAGCTAAATAAACCTTTCCTTCCTTAATTTTGGGCATCAGATATTTGGTCCCAGGTACGAGAGAAAAGCAACAGAGACATGAGCATACTTGTCATTCTGAGAAAGAATTCCTTCGCTGGATCTTCCCTTTGAGAAAGATTGCTTGGTGCTACAGATCTCTACAATTTCCTACATGTTTGAAGTTATGGGCACAGCAAGTACTATTTGCTACGGCCCAGACGTAACTACCAACAGATTTATGTATTTGTATGTAAACAGATAAATGATAAACAGCTTTCTTCATTGTCCACTTCAGCAACCAAATTGAGCCAAATATGAAAATTTAACAGAAAGTCACATAGAAATGATCCAGGGGCCGGGGAGATGGCTCAGTGGAATAAGTGCTTCCCTGGCAAGTGCAAGGGCCTGAGTTCAATCCCTGGTCCCCCCCCCAAAAAAAAAAAAAAAGAAATGATCCAAACTTAGTAAAGCCATCTTCTATCTGGTATAGTCACAAATGTGACATTTTAACGGGCCCAATTTTGTAAGAGATGACTTCCAACACATCCTATAGATTTTAGAACACCCCTGCCCTCTTGGATTCTGAGACCTCCAAAATGGAACTCTGAGACAAAAGGAAGGAAGGAGGAAAGAAGAGAGGAAAAGAGGGAGGGGAGAATGGAGAGAGGGAGGCGGCACACCCCCCCAACAGGAACGACCATTCAAACATTTAACAGCTGATCTAGCAGAGACATTAGGTCAGCAGCGTGAGTAGTCAACCAGTTCCCAACAGATACCAGCCATAAAACAATGTCCTTACTTGCCTCACTAGTATTTATTGAATATGTTTTTAAGGTTTATGATAAATGCCCCACAATGGAGAGTTACATGGAGAGAAAAAACATTTTCTCAAGTTTTCACAGAGAGCAAATTGGTCAAGCAATGGCCGTGACTCATCCTCATGTCTGACACTGACAAAAGGATGTACAAAGCGGCAGTACAGGGCTACAGGATAAATCCTGAGGGTACTTGACTGACCTTATCAGATACAAAAGTTACATTTCTTGTTATATAGGTCTTGCTTTATCTTGGTCTTAACCAGCCAGCAGAAAAGTATAAAAGCGAGGT